TTTGATAGTGCAGAGTCGATGTCCTGCCATACGTGAGCGTTGCCCTCTAAGTGTTGGTCTAAATGGACAGCTTAGATAGGATTAGTTGGACTAACAGCAAACATCTTTAGAGCCAGAGAGGTCACCTCTTCTGTGCATGGATGTGCATGTGGCAGGAGTACAGTGTCCATATGTTGTAAATCCTTCCCTCGAGGACAACACATGCTGTCCTTCTTTGACGGGTAGCAAGCACACATTCTCAGGCTTTTTAACATTTAAATCCACCTCTATTATAAAATACCAACCATACAACTTACAGAAAACTATAAGAAATGAATTCAAGGTGCCTAAATTGAAAGAATCCTTGGAGATACCCACTACTGAGCTTTCACATCAGTGGATTTATGCAAGCATGCACCAGCGCGTGTCTTTCCTCTGGCCAATGGTGTCGTAGCAGCATGTGGTCCAACTGTCCTAAAGTACCAGTTTAAGACATCCCCGGGGCCTTTCAACACCTCTACCCCACTGAGAGAAACATTCGCCTGAGAATAGACCCTGGCACAACAGGGGCGGCCGAAACCATGAGGCAAGACTTTGCATGTGGTTTTCTTATCGCAAAGGCAGCATCAATTCATTCGAACACACAGACGGAGTGAGAAGAAGAAATGTGGGGTGATTCAGAAGTGTGTGAGAGAGGGAGGCAGGTAGGGAGTACTGTAACAGTAGCTCCTCTCCGAGCTTCATCACCCACAGGAATAACAGTTGGGCACATACAATAGCCTTGCGCATAAGGACACACAAATAGCACACTGAGAACTATTGTAAAGCACAATGCATGGGGAGAAGAACCCTATAACACTTTCTAACATCCCGAATGACAATGCCAGATGTCAACCTACAAGCAGATTTACTCCTTTCAGCACCGTCGCATATGAATCGGCCCACAAGAAGAGCTCGGCAGTCCATCAGGGGTTAAATAGTTCAAAGAGGAGCAAGCAAATAAGCTCTTTTACCAGCATGATAGATAGATAGATAGATAGAAGCTCAGGTATACAGTAGATTTATGTTGGGTTACTTTGTGTGTGTGTGTGTGTGTGTGTGTGTGAGTGTGTGTCGGGGGGCGGTAGGCCAAAATATGTTGCCCCATGGGACCACTGTGGAACCTCACACCAGCCCCCACAGAGAAGGATAAGGCCATCTGCCCGTCTTACTCATCAATCCCACCTAGAAGACACACACACTCACACACACACACTGAGTGCTGGGCAGCAATATGGAGAGGCTTTGTAGACAGTGTTTGATCTGCCTTTCATCCAGGCAGCAGCGTGCAGGCTGCTGAGCCTCTCTGTGTGTCTCCTGCTGTACTGTCCGCTGTCCCAGTCGAAATCAGCAGCGTATAACAACAGCTCCAACCCGAGGCATGAATGGCAGGACACAAGCTGATCAGGCTCATCCTCTGACTGAGGGAACAGGAGGGGGTGGGCACAGCTCAGTGGATCCATTCAGACTCAAATGACTTAACTCAAATGTTTCTTTAAAGTCACACTGATATCACATCATTGTGACACGACTGAGTTAAACCTCAAACTCAGAGTGAAGGCAGACACTGAGAATACAGCAAAGCTAAAGTGAATGAAAAAATAAAGCAGGACAGTAACAGACACGTCTGCTTCCTAGACAAACTGCACTTATTGTCAGTGCACTCCTGCCTCCCAAAGCTAACCAAACTCTAAATAAAACAAGGCAAAGAAAGTAAGAGCAGGTTCATAACTATGTAGGCTTATCTTCCATTTTGATATGAGTCCATATCCGGTCTCAGGGAGACACTCCTTTCTCCTGATCGCCATTTATTCTACTGAGCATACATTCATAAGATGCTGTTTCCACCATTACAATAACCCATTCTTTCAATGCAGGGCCTTTGATGTCTTCCAGTGTCTTAGACTAACTCAACAGACAGTTATTAGACCCACAATAATAACAGAACACTTGGATTTGTTTGGTATTTGCGACCGATCCCCCAGTGAACACAACTTTGGACTGAAAGGGATTTCGGAAGCAAACCAACAACTTCAAATTTGATGAGTTGATGATGTTTCTATCATGAGGTCCATGTGAAACCCAAAGGAAAAAAGAAATCCAAAGGGTAAAGAAGAAAGGTCATCTAAACAAAGATGGCAACCGGAGAGATGACGAGATCGAGAACTTTTGTCGGTAAGAGCCTAAGACGAATTCATCAGACAAATTCAAGGGATGGGATCGGCTGCAGGCTGTCTTGGCAGAGATGGCTGCCATCTTGTTTTTACATGGATTAGTGTATTGTGCTCTTGCTACCTCTAGGTGGCACAAAAAAGTGTCCACAAAAGAGGACAACAGGTTTAAGTTAAGTAGAATGAGGTATAAGGTCAAGTAAACCCAAAATGTGATGTCCTCATATGAGGACACAGGGTCTCGGGAGGATATGGAAAATGACCAGTGCTAATTTGTCCGCTCTGGGCTACTGTAGAAACAACAAAGCAGAGTCTGTGGATGAGGACCTGCTCTGTATGTAGATATATATTCCATTTCTGCCTATATATCCCCCTAAATCCTACACACTGGCCCCAAAAAGGACAGACAAAGGCATGTAAGATCAAGCCAACTGCACTAAAAAGTTGCAAGTTTCATAATTTTCCGTCATCTTCATCATCGCTGACTTTTCATGTGGTCTGAGGCAGATTGAGAGCTGGTGTGGTTATAGTTTATGAGTCCACTCAGCTGAGAGTCTGAGGCCTGTCTGGAACCAGAGGCTGGCCTCAACATCAGCCAGACTACAGCAACACACACACACACACACACACACACACACACACACACTACACTGACAGCTATTAGGCAATCAATAGAAGCTAATACATCAGAGCATTTGACCACTCAGCTCCACTAGCTTAGCAGACAGAGAGGAAGAGAAGAAATCTATCAATCATGCTGTATGACGAAATGCATTTTACAGGCATGAAGCACACAGGTGGTGCGCCTATCCCCGCAGCAGCAATCTCTCCTTTATATCAATACACATTACTTATTGATCACAACTACAAACTCAGTTGTGGCCATGTTTATGAGGTGACATCATGCACAGGTTTGGAGAGAGTTATGGCCGCTTGCTTCGACCTCAGAGGGAATTAACCTCAGCAAACCTAAGCCATAAAACTTCAATCATTAATATCACATTAATATAGAGATTAATCTGACGGATGGCCCTCCAGAGGCTCTGTTAACTCGCCAAGGAAGTTAAGTGTGAAATCAATCCATATAAACGACCTGGATAAAAATTCTTCCATGCTGGAGCAGTCGAGTCCTAAATCAGCCAATCAGAGAGGCGCTAGTAAAACCAGTCTTTTAGCACGGCTCGCTAACAATCTCAGTATTTCAGCTCTGGCAGCTCATTCTCCTCTTTTCTCCTTCTGTCTTTGTCTCATCGTGCCATCCTTCTCCTCCACCCCTCTGCTCCTGGAGGGCCACAAAGGGGAGTATCCTCTCTTTTCACAACAGGCCCCTCATGGAGACTCGGGGGTTGTATAGATGGGAGGCGCAGGGTGATCTACACTTGTTCAAGCATCCATATTTTGGCTATTTGAAGGGAGAGGGAGGCTGTTAAACAGTCAGTGAGGAGGTGACCCCTGACCCTGAAGGCTGCTGTCCATCCGGTACAGAGAATAAACAGAGAGGCAGGGCAGAGCTGGGTGTTACTGCTCTTATCTCTGCCCTGAAAGATGTACAGAGAAGAACTGTGAACTCTGATCTGATGGCAAAACAGGAAGATTTCAGATCTCAAACATGCAGCCTGAAAATCTGAAAACCATTTTCCAACCACTTCCTGCTTTCCTTGCTTTATTCCTTCTCTCCCAGTGCTTGAATCTGCGTTGTGGCTCCCACTTAGCGCTGTCACAGCCCTGGTGTGTCTGACTGCATGCTCAGTGTGAAGTGTGGTGACCCAGAGGTTAAAGGTGACATTACAGAGCACTGAGACAAAGGCCAGACACTGTTTCTCCAGTCAGACCTCATGCTGCTGCCACCAACAGCACCAATTGGGGCTTTCCTCCTCAAATTAACACACAGACTCTTATCTATCTATCTATCTATCTATCTATCTATCTATCTATCTGAGGACAGCACATGTGGGACAGTTGGTGACAGTGTGAGAGCAGATGTCAGTCACAGCGAGCTCCTTTGTGTGTGGAGCAATAGACCACCTCACTGCTGCACTCTATTGTCATTCATTTGCTCCAGTGGGGTTTGTTCATTTTTTTTACTGGGAGCATGCAGCCTTCAATCCATCACTGGGCTCTTTATAAACACACCACACAGAGGGTGCATGCAGAACGACACATGCACTGAGCGAACTGATGGGTAGGGTGATAAATGTACATGGTGAGTACCAAAGACACTGTCCATGAAGCAGTATGTGAATTATTTAACAAGACTGATGGACACTAACACTTCTGGAGAGATGATGCAACAAAATGTAAAAATAAATGAATTAATAAAAATAT